AGTGTAGTAAAGGTATATTGCAATAGTGAAATAGAATTCAAAAATTATTTTTCTGTATCTAAACTTAATAATTAAGCAAATTCAAAATAATAGGTTTTGGCTCATTTATAATATCAGTATAACTACTCCTGTAGTGTAGAATTTACCTGCAGAAAAATGAATTTAATGTGTAAATCCAGAAATATGTCTTTTGTCTAACAGTGAGAACAGAAATATTCTTTACCTTCACTCATTAGGTAGCAATGAAAGTTAATATGGGAAGAGGCAGTTCTGGCAGCAGTGGCAGCTCCACTGGCATTTTTGGCCACTGCATAAGTGACAGTACTACTGGAGACAAGGAGCTGGAAAGTATAAAAAGAAGAATCTGGTGGTTGCCGACCACATAGAAGTTCTTTCCGTGCATTAGTCTTTTATAAGTTGGATTTTGCTGTGTGTATATTTTTGTCTTTACAGAATAATTTAAGATAATTTATTATATATTTGCTTCCTCCATTAGACCATAACCTGTTTGAGGGCAGATATTTTTTTCATTTGTTTATTCCTTCAGTCAGTTTGTCAGCAGATATTTTTTCATGCCTACCATTGCAGGCCTCTGTTTTAAAATCTGGAGATGAACAAACAATAACTTGTGCTCTTGTGGGAGATAGTAATGAATGCTGTGAAAAGTAAGGCAGGAAAGAGTGATAAAGTGTGTGAGGATGACAATTTAGAATAGAGTAGTCAGGTAAGTTCCTCACTGAGAAGGTGGCATTAGAGCAGAGACTTGAAGGAGGTAAGAAAGCCAGCTTTGCAGATATCTGGGGGAAGAGCAATCAGGCTGTGAAACAGGCCTTGGGTATTGGGTTTTAGATTTATTTGTATCACCCCCAGAAATCAACACTGAGCCTCGAACTTTTAGTAAATCTTTGCTAAATGCATTCTTTAGAATCTGCTAGCTTGAAATAGAGTTTGGATTAGAATTGACTTCCTTAATTTACTTCCAACTCTTAAAATTTAGTCCTTCATGAAATAAAGGTTTTAAAAACCCATGCCTTTAGCACAAAAGTAATGGTGGAATAGCTGTTACTTCAGCTCTTTCTAAGTTGAAAGAAGTCTCTAAGAAATACATATCCAGTAAGACAATTGTGAGCTTAATTTATTAAGCAATATCTAGGGGTGTGACTAGACTCAAACATACCTGACAGGATGCTGAGGTTTGAGTCTAACTGTAATGGTTTAACAATGAGTGGTCTGAAAATTGTTTAACCATTTGCCAACAATTTTCCCCTATGCACTGGATTTTTTTTTTTTTTTTTTTTTTTTTGAGACAGAGTCTCACTTTGTTGTCCAGGCTAGAGTGAGTGCCGTGGCGTCAGCCTAGCTCACAGCAACCTCAAACTCCTGGGCTCAAGCGATCCTCCTGCCTCAGCCTCAGATAGCTGGACTACAGGCATGTGCCACCATGCCGGCTAATTTTTTCTATATATATCAGTTGGCCAATTAATTTCTTTCTATTATAGTAGAGACGGGGTCTCGCTCTTGCTCAGGCTGGTTTTGAACTCCTGACCTTGAGCAATCCGCCCGCCTCGGCCCCCAAGAGCTAGGATTACAGGCGTGAGCCACAGCGCCCGCCTGCACTGGATTTTCATTCCCTATTTATCCTCCCTCATGATATAACACATTGTGTGTTCATCTCTACCCTTTAACAATGCAGATTTCCATTTCATACTGTAATAGTTTTTTAGATTTGATTGTGCCTCCAAGCTGTTATGTGTGAGACATATGAAGTCACACACCTGTTTTGCTAACCTGAAGTTTTGGTTAATTTTGCTAGTCATACATTAAGAATTCAAGGGTGAACTCAGAGTGCATCCCCTTTTGTTTTTGCCTCTGTTTCCCTGGGCTATGACTACCTAGTTCAATGTTTTTCTTGGTTTCTCTTTTTAAATTGATGCTTAGCCACAGCTACTTGGCAACAATAACCTCTAGTCTTTTAATATTTGCCTGATAATATGTTTTTGTATTACTGTAAATGACTGAGACTTACATTTTTATAAACCACATATATTTTTACATAACTATCAAACAAGAAAAGTAACACCTTGGATTATGATTCCTGTGCTGTTAATGTACCATGGTATACTTGTGGTGAATTACTTTAATAAAGTAGTTTTTCTTTTATATGAATTGTCTTAGTTGTTCCCACTGGTAGAAAAGATTGTGTTTGTATATGCATGCAGGAAAATTTTCAAACTGTAATATACATGAGTTGCCTCAATTTTCTTGTAAACTGTATCTGATTGTTTGTCAACCAAATGCAGACATTCTTAGGAGGAACTCTAAGATTGTTCTTGCCTTTTTCCATAAAAAATAAGAGTATTAAAAGTATGTATAACTCTTTTTCCTTTTTAAAAAACCTTGAGAAAGATGCATCCATGTTTACTGATGACTTTTTCTAGTGACTTTTTAAGACAATGTAGCAGATGGGATTGTTAAATTTATTTCTTTGATCAAGATATAATTATCAGCAGTTCTGAGTTATAGGTGTTAACACATATTAACACATAGTGTTTCAGCTTTTTCGTTAAGAAGAAAATTCCAGATGATTTGGTTTTCTTCCATATTGGTTAGAATGCTTTTGTCTGCATAAATTTGGTTTTATGTAGCCTGACTCAAATGCTTAAAAAGAACTATGTTAGGTACATAATGGAAAGTGCAGAGTATTAGACAGACTCCAAAGTTATTTGATTCAGCAGATCAATGACTTCATCATAGATCTAGTTTCTCTTTCTCTGCTTTACTCTTCATGAAATTACTATTCTCCAAGGGCTGATTTTCTCCTTAAAAATCAGTGGTCATCAGTTCAATTCACAAAGAGAAGTAATCTGTTTCTGTAATCCTGGAATACGTCTTTTCCTTTAGTCTGGTTAGACCTACCAAAGACTAATAACAGCTTATCCTAATCAGAATCCAGCCTTAGAGCTGAAGATGAGGGTAGAAATGGGAATAAAACTAATACTCTCCCGAGGTGGCTCACGCCTGTAATCCTAGCACTCTGGGAGGCCAAGACGGGCGGATCGCTCAAGGCAGGAGTTCTAAACCAGCCTGAGCAAGAGCAAGACCCTGTCTCTACTAAAAATAGAAAGAATTAATTGGACAACTAAATATAAATGAAAAATTAGCCGGGCATGGTGGCGCATGCCTGTAGTCCCAGCTACTCGGAGGCTGAGGCAGAAGGATTGCTTGAGTCCGGGAATGTGAGGTTGCTGTGAACTAGGCTGATGCCATGGCACTCTAGCCTCAGTGTAGTAAAGGTATATTGCAATAGTGAAATAGAATTCCAAAAATTTATTTTTCTGTATCTAAACTTAATAATTAAGCAATATTCAAAATAATAGGTTCTTGGCTCATTTATAATATCAGTATATACTCCTGTAGTGTAGAATTTACTGCAGAAAAATGAATTTAATGTGTAAATCCAGAAATATATCTTTTGTCTAACAGTGAGAACAGAAATATTCTTTACCTTCACTCATTAGGTAGCAATGAAGGTTAATATGGGAAGAGGCAGTTCTGGCAGCAGTGGCAGCTCACTGGCATTTTTGGCCACTGCATAATGACAGTACTACTGGAGACAAGGAGCTGGGAAGTATAAAAGAGAATCTGGTGGTTGCCGACCACATAGAAGTTCTTTCCGTGCATTAGTCTTTTATAAGTTGGATTTTGCTGTGTGTATATTTTGTCTTTCAGGAATAATTTAAGATAATTTATTTATATATTTGCTTCCTCCATTAGACCATAACCTGTTTGAGGGCAGATATTTTTTCATTTGTTTATTCCTTCAGTCAGTTTGTCAGCAGATATTTATTTCATGCCTACCATGTGCAGGCTCTGTTTTAAAATCTGGAGATGAACAAACAATAACTTGTGCTCTTGTGGGAGATAGTAATGAATGCTGTGGGAAAGTAAGGCAGGAAGAGTGATAAAGTGTGTGAGGATGACAATTTAGAATAGAGTAGTCAGGTAAGTTCTCACTGAGAAGGTGGCATTAGAGCAGAGACTTGAAGAGGTAAGAAAGCCAGCTTTGCAGATGCCTGGAACTACCGAGATCCCACTCAGCTCCCTCTTTCGAAGAGCTAGCGTCTGGCCAACTCAAAGGAAGATGAAAATACAGTGTAAAAAGTGGTGTGGCAGCTACATAGGGGCATGACATCCATAGGCACCTAAGCAAGCCAGAGATGACTTTGAGAGAAAAGCAACTCAAAGATTGGAGAACCGGAAAATGCACGTTCTCTCTTCTGAGGACTGATTAAAATGCATGTCTGGGACGAACCCTCCTCAATTTTGCTTCTAACTGGCCGCCACCCCTGGTCGATGCAATCCGAACCCCCGCCTCTTGCCCAGAAAGAAACTGCTCTCAAAATTACTTTTTTTCTTGTGTCGCCAGCAGGTTCCTCTGTCCCGGGGAGACTGCAGCGGAAGAAGGGGTTCCGGAGTGGCAGTTTCTGGGAGACCTCCGTAAGTCCTTCGCCGCCAGCGGCAGTGAGGGAGGTAGCTGCAGCACAGACTCTTGCTCCTCGGCCATCTTGCTCGTGGAAGCGGAAGCGGAAGTGGCGGCTGAGCGCTTGCAGCGGGCAGGCTTTGAGCCTGGGAATGTCGCAAAGGAGGCGCCGGAGTGGGGACGGAACCCAACAGTGAAAGTTGGAGTTTCCTAATTGTCTTCCATACCAAACTGTCGCAGACCCCTGACAGTTAGTATCATATTGGCTGTTTTTCTGAAGCAAAAAACCCAGGGAGGGGGCCGTAAGCAATACCCACGTCCCCGCCGAGTGCACGGACGCCCCTCAGGCCAGTGGGCTCGACCTGGAACGTTCGCTTCCCTCGCGCCGGCCCGCCCGCCCGCCCTCCGCCCCGCCAGCGGCTCGGGAGCGCGCTCGCGCGCGTGCGGGAGGGGCGGGTGGGAAAGATCGCGGCGAGATCCGAGGCGAGGCTCGCGCGCCCCGGCCCAGCGCCCACGGTCGGCCCGGCCCAGCCATGATCAAGGCGATCCTCATCTTCAACAACCACGGGAAGCCGCGGCTTTCGAAGTTCTACCAGCCCTACGTGAGTATCCAGCGCCGCCGCCGATCCGGGCGAGGGGAGTCGTTGGCGACGGGCAGCGCCAGCGCGGTTCCTCAGAGCGACCTCCGGCGCGCTGCGGCCTTCTCGCGCCCCGGCCGCCCGAGCTTCCAGGCTGTCAGCCTCCGGGGGGTGTGAGCGGTGCCCGCCTCCCCGCCGCGCGCTCAGCCTCCGACGTGGCTCCGGCCGGGCGGCTCCTCCGCCGTCTGTGGGCTGGGTGGCTTCCTGGCTGCGCGGGCGAGGCCTCACCGGTCCGGCAGCCTCAGCCCACCTGCGCCGGCGGCCCGCGACCCGGCCCGCGAGCCACCCGGCGCTCCTGCCTTGCTGCCGCCCGCGGCTTCGCTTAGCCCGGGGGAGGAAGACAGTGCCCAGCCCGTCCCTCTCGCCGCCCCACTCCGACCCCAGCCTTTCCAGGTGGACTTCTTCTCTGTCCTCCCGTGGACAGACGGGCTTCTGTCCCACTGTAATCCTCTCAGAGCGCCGGAACTTTGCCTTCCTGCGTCTCGCCTGCCGCACCGCTTTGTACTGTCCTGTGTGTGTTTCCATACGTGACCGAACTGCCTGCTGTGACTTTCAGATGTCTCTCTATTAAGGAGAAAGATAAGCGAGGACCTAATGTTTTTATCGGGCTTTTTAAGTCTGGCTGTAAATTATTTACTGTCTGAATAACTGGCCACGTTTGTGGTTGGCCAGTTAGAACTGTGATACTTGAAAGTTAAGACTTCAGCTTCTGGCTTGGCATTTTCTGCATAAGGGAATTTTCCCCAGTTTGTAGTTTTCCTTACACTTAGGAAGAATAGTAATATTTGTAAAACTTTTCTTTAGAAGTGTAAATGTTGTTTAATATTGGTAAGTGCAGGAGGCTTTAAGGTAGCAAAGATAAATAGTTTATTGATGATCGAGAAAGATGACTTACGTGCTTATCTGAGGGCAACATTCACCAGCAGGTAAAACACTTAAAACTGGGCTCCCAGTGGCAGGATTAATAATGTGAGATGTAGCTGTTGTGTTGTAGTGGGGCATTTTGCTTATAGCCAGAAATGCACTTCCAATTCAGTTTTGAAATTGTGCCAAGGCTAACACTTTTAAGCATGAGTCCCAGATGGAAATCATTCTTGCCATTAAAAATTAAATGTGAAAATGTCAGTTTGCCTAAAATGATAATGCAATCTGTGGAGGTGTGAGTTGAAGTGAGAAATCTTGAGCTTATTCTTCATTTCCTTAAGTTGTTTCCTTTTGCTAGCAATAAAGAATATTTTCTGCTTTTCCTGTGTGGTTTTAATTTACTCAAATACTAATGTCTGTTTAAGAATTGTACATCATTCTTTAATCCAATATACGATTATAATTGATCCTTGTGAGTGAAAAAAATGCCATTAATTTTACATTGTACCCTTTGCTTAAAATATAGTACTTTATAGGCTTTATTGAAGGAATTTGTCTTTTAACTATTTTGCCAGTGCTATTCATTTTCAGTGTAGTAAAGGTATATTGCAATAGTGAAATAGAATTCAAAAATTATTTTTCTGTATCTAAACTTAATAATTAAGCAATTCAATAATAGTTTCTTGGCTCATTTATAATATCAGTATAACTACTCCTGTAGTGTAGAATTTACCTGCAGAAAATGAATTTAATGTGTAAATCCAGAAATATTCTTTTGTCTAACAGTGAGAACAGAAATATTCTTTACCTTCACTCATTAGGTAGCAATGAAAGTTAATATGGGAAGAGGCAGTTCTGGCAGCAGTGGCAGCTCTACTGGCATTTTTGGCCACTGCATAAGTGACAGTACTACTGGAGACAAGGAGCTGGGAAGTATAAAAAGAAGAATCGGTGGTTGCCGACCACATAGAAGTTCTTTCCGTGCATTAGTCTTTTATAAGTTGGATTTTGCTGTGTGTATATTTTTGTCTTTCAGGAATAATTTAAGATAATTTATTTATATATTTGCTTCCTCCATTAGACCATAACCTGTTTGAGGGCAGATATTTTTTTCATTTGTTATTCCTTCAGTCAGTTTGTCAGCAGAATTATTATTTCATGCCTACCATGTGCAGGCTCTGTTTTAAAATCTGGAGATGAACAAACAATAACTTGTGCTCTTGTGGGAGATAGTAATGAATGCTGTGGGAAAGTAAGGCAGGAAAGAGTGATAAAGTGTGTGAGGATGACAATTTAGAATAGAGTAGTCAGGTAAGTTCTCACTGAGAAGGTGGCATTAGAGCAGAGACTTGAAGGAGGTAAGAAAGCCAGCTTTGCAGATATCTGGGGGAAGAGCAATCCAGGCTGTGAAACAGGCCTTGGGTATTGGGTTTTAGATTTATTTGTATCACCCCCAGAAATCAACACTGAGCCTCGAACTTTTAGTAAATCTTTGCTAAATGCATTCCTTTAGAATCTGCTAGCTTGAAATAGAGTTTGGATTAGAATTGACTTCCTTAATTTACTTCCAACTCTTAAAATTTAGTCCTTTCATGAAATAAGGTTTTAAAAACCCATGCCTTTAGCACAAAAGTAATGGTGGAATAGCTGTTACTTCAGCTCTTTCTAAGTTGAAAGAAGTCTCTAAGAAATACATATCCAGTAAGACAATTGTGAGCTTAATTTATTAAGCAATATCTAGGGGTGTGACTAGACTCAAACCATACCCTGACAGGATGCTGAGGTTTGAGTCTAACTGAATGGTTTAACAATGAGTGGTCTGAAAATTGTTTAACCATTTGCCAACAATTTTCCCCTATGCACTGGATTTTTTTTTTTTTTTTTTTTTTTTTGAGACAGAGTCTCACTTTGTTGTCCAGGCTAGAGTGAGTGCCGTGGCGTCAGCCTAGCTCACAGCAACCTCAAACTCCTGGGCTCAAGCGATCTCCTGCCTCAGCCTCCGAGTAGCTGGACTACAGGCATGTGCCACCATGCCGGCTAATTTTTTCTATATATATCAGTTGGCCAATTAATTTCTTTCTATTTATAGTAGAGACGGGGTCTCGCTCTTGCTCAGGCTGGTTTTGAACTCCTGACCTTGAGCAATCCGCCGCCTCGCTCCCAAGAGCTAGGATTACAGGCGTGAGCCACAGCGCCCGGCCTGCACTGGATTTTCATTCCCTATTTATCCTCCCTCATGATATAACACATTGTGTGTTCATCTCTACCCTTTAACAATGCAGATTTCATTTCATACTGTAATAGTTTTTTAGATTTGATTGTGCCTCCAAGCTGTTATGTGTGAGACATATGAAGTCACACACCTGTTTTGCTAACCTGAAGTTTTGGTTAATTTTGCTAGTCATACATTAAGAATTCAAGGGTGAACTCAGAGTGCATCCCCTTTTGTTTTTGCCTCTGTTTCCCTGGGCTATGACTACCTAAGTTCAATGTTTTCTTGTTCTAGTGAGACTCTGTGTCAAAAAAAAAACCCCAAAAACTAATACTCTGTTGAAAGATGGAAGAGAGGAGTAGATGTTAGATAAGCAAACAAGGGGCTACTATTTTGTCATTTAAAAATGTTTAAAAATTTTTATTATGAAGGTATAGTTGAAAAATGAAAATTGTATATATTTATAGCATACAACATGATGTTTTTGTATATGTATGCATTGTGAAATGGATAAATCAAGCTAATTAACATATCTATCACCATTATTCTCTCTTTATTAACTTTCAATAGATATAATTTTTTTCTCTATATAATTTTGGATTGCTTCTGAGGTGACTAATATAAGGAGTGGTTCATTGTAATATGCAGTCCTGAACATGTACTACAATAGTTCTTAATTCAAGGTATTCCTTATATCAAATGATCGTTGAAAAACTCAAATTCTAATACAGTCACAGTTTTTGAGTGGAATATGCCTGAAGACTTGCTACTTAAAAATTAAGATTAAACCTGTTGAGCTTTAAGTTGTAAAGACAAAATAAAATGTTCAAAATTACGGTGATTTTTGGTTTTGGGGGAGATGTTATAAATAGAACAGTAGTATAGGTCATTCTGTGGCTTTTCTAAAGAGGAAGAAGGCCTGTGTAAAGTGGCTATATTCTAGCAAAGTTTTTGATTATTAAATTATTTATTGTCTTACATTTTAAATAAGTTTCTTTTTTGTGATTATGTGGAAAATATTTAAATATTAATATCACTAAAGTCATCCTTGATTCCACCACACTCAGGTAATTATTGACATCTAGTGTGTTTCCTCCAGTCTTTATTTTTCCTTCTAGAATGTCCCAAAGAAGAGTATATACCTTCTAGACATTAATAACACAAAATGAATGCTTTGAACCCATGGTCGATTTATCAAGCATTTATGGCTTTATGATTACCAAAGGCTAATGTCTGGCCACTCTGTTGTTAACATTTTTTAAATACATTATTATTATATGTCAACAGCACATTAATAATTTGCATATTTTTCCCCATATATGACTTTCTTTTCTACAAAATTGAACTTACATATGTAACCTGAGTGTATCAGGGTCCTTCTCTCTTCTCATTCCAAAGGGAAAGCTTTGCAAATTTTTGTTAGAGAAGTCAGGGTTCATTCTTGTCTTTATCACTTAAGAGTCTTCTTTGTACTTGTGGATTATGGATTTCTTCACTGCTGCTGATAATCCAAGGTGATTCTGAGTTGTGGACCACCTAGAGGGGCCAGTCCCCTTCCAGCCTCTTCTTGTATCAAACTCTCATATTAGGATAGATTACACTTTCTTTCCTCACCCATTCTGCACTGTTGGCTTTCCCTTCTCAGATCCTTTGAACTATAAACAACTTTCTTTCCTGAAGGACCTGGCAACTCTTGGAAGGGTATTGTGGTGTAAGGGGAATAAAGGCCAATTCTGGCTAACAAATGTTTTCTTAAGACTCCAAGTGGAGGAGGCACTTTTATACTCAGGGCTATGAGAAGAGGAGTAGCCTTTCTGGATACTACCTGACTTGTTTCTCTGTTGCACTCTTCTCTCTTTCCCTGCCCATATTCTTTCAACGACTATTT